AAGCATCACACAAAATGTTTTAATTTTTTTTAGATTTTATTTATTACATATACAATACAGTGTTCTGCCTCCATGTATGCCTGCATGCCAGAAGAGGGCACCAGATCTCATTTTAGATGGTTGTGAGCCACCATGTGGTTACTGGGAACTGAACTCAGGACCTCTGGAAGAACAGTCAGTGTCCTTAACCTCTGAGCCATCTCTCCAGCCCCAATGTATTAAATTTTTAATAATCAATCATACTGCAATAAATTTGGAACAAATACTCTGGGTTTGTGCATCGCTATGCAAATGGGTCAGTAATTCCGTTTCAATGATGTATTAGGGGGTCTTTCTTTTTTCCTTCCTTCTTTTCCTCCTTTCTTTTGTTCCGTCTCTTTCTCTTTCTTTCCTTTTTTCTTTTCTTTCTTTTTGAGACACACACACAGAGTCTAGACATATAGATGTGATAAAGAAAGGCTCTATTTTTCTGAGGCTCATAAGAGAAAACACACACAGTCAATTGTGTACGTTCATTCCCCTCTGTCCCTATACAGAGGCTTGAATGAGAGTTCCCTAATAGTCTTGGGCTTTTGATTATTTAGTACTTGGTGGAAATGATTGGGGGGTTTAGGAGGTGTGGTATTATGGGAGGAAGCATTTTACTGGAGGTGGGAATTTTAAAGTTTTAAAGGATCATGATATTACATTTTAAATAACATTGTTTTACTAATATATGACATATATAAAGCATGAAAGTTCTCTTAGTATGCATATGTGATATATCACACAATTAAACATCACAATAGCATTAAAATTTTATCCATTTGACTCTAGAGAAAACAGATTAAAGCTGTTTCTAGTTTGTCTAAGTTATTGGAGATGACAGGTGGTGGCAGTAAAATAGAGAGAATAAAAGCTCCTTCCTTCTAAATTCTGTCATAATAACCACTGAAAAGTGTTACCTCTCATTTCTCAATAGGAAGAAAAGTACTTTTGTTTTCTTGGTTACTATGTCAGCCTTCTTGCGTGGTGTATAACAAGGGCTCCTTCATAGCTCAGCATGATGGTAAAGTAAATATGTCAGTTTATCTCATCTAGGAGGTGCTCAGACACTTTGTTAAACATGATCTTAATGTGTCTGTTAGCAATTCTGTATGTGATTGACATTTGATTCAGTAGACTGAGGAAAACACATCGACAGACCTAATTTTTCGGGGAGGAAGGGGGTGAGTCTAGTCAGGTATAGATTTGGGGAAAATGAAAAGCCGGACTTCTGAGAAGGGACAGTCTCCTTTGCCTTTGAATTGAGTAATTCATTTTCTCCTGCACCAAGACTTTGATTTGACCTGAAGCATAGACTTTTCTATGACATTGATGTCTCAGGGTTTTGGTTGGAATGAACGCATACACGGGGTCTCAGATCGTTGAATTGGGACCAGAACTGTAGAACTGGGTCTTTGTATATCTAGGATTCTCATCATTCTGTAATATCACAAAAGGTCATTCCTAATAAAACTCTTTCTATATCTATATGCACCCTGTTAGTTCTCTTTTTAGGGGACACCCTGAATAATATACTTAATATGTGTTTTCTTAAGTAATAAAATCATGACTTCCTCCTGACTAGACAAACACTGCAGATAATCACCCACTGAGAGCCAACTCTCAAATATCTAACTAAGTGATATGAATCTGAAATACACAGAGGCCAAAAGTCACTGTAGTGAGAAAGCATTGAGCAGTGGGTATCTGTGACATAAATGAGGACATCCATATTGTGAAAATCAGTTTTCACCATTAGCCTAGTTTATGGCGAATCTGCAGCATCCCTAGAGGTCTGTACTCTGACCTAAATTTTCCTACTGAACTAGAATCATACTTCTGATAGTCTTCAAAGATCTGTCACTTCACTTGAATATATGTATTCCCATTGAAATAATGTCAGTAAAGATAAGAAATTATAAGCTAGCATCCCTTTTATGCACAAATGGCTATAAAATAAATCTCCGTTTCAACTTTTAACTGTGGATTTTCATTTTATGATGCAGAGCCTAGTTGTAACACCAATGTTATGAATTGTAATTTAACTTTTTTGTCTTTTATTTTGCCTTTATGAAATATGTTTCTCTGTTACAACAAAATGAAAGCACTACTCACTCAACTGCTATTCATAAACTTCTAAATGATTTTCATTGTCATTAACACATTAAGTGTAACAGCAGGCTGTGATGGTCTGATTTGGTAGTGTGTACACATATGCAATGAATGAGGTCTTATATGCACATGACATTTGGTCTTAAATGAAAGACCTCAGAAATGTCAAAGACCAGTGAGAGCGTTTACTTGTATCAGACCTCAAGACTTGAAGTTCATTTTTATTCATATAAAATTAAATGGCTGGATCAAGGAAAAGTTAGTCTCCTGTCACTCCATGTAGTTTGTGTTGGAAAAAAATGGAAAAGAGGAAAGAATGAAAATAAAATCATTGTTACTGTATACAATTAATTCTTGGGAAGATAATGTCTATGTACTGACAGAGGAGGAATGGATTTCTTTTTTCAGCCAGAACTCTAATTTCCTTCAAAATTATCTTAAATTGAGAGAGGTATGCCTTCCTTCTGTTTCTCCTCCCACCAACTCACTCCACAAAGAAAACTGAAGAAAAGCTCAAATACCATTTCTCATGGAAGACAGAAAATCATACTTCATTAGCTTTAGTTAGAAACATTATATGCACATAAAAAGCAATTGGATAAGCTGGGCAATGGTGGCACATGCCTTAAAATTCCAGCACTTGGAGTCAGAGGCAGGTGGATCTCTGTGAGTTCAAGGCCAGCCTGGTCTACACAGTGAGTTCGAGGACAGGCTCCAGAGTTACAGAGAAACCCTGTCTTAAAAAACCAAAAAATAAAATAAAATAAACAAACAGAAAGAAGATAAAAAGAAAACATAATGAGATAAGCAAAGAATGGTAAACAAAAATCAATTGTGTAATTTCTAAACTTGTCTAAAAACCATGCAACTTCCGAAGTATGCAAGTTCTCTCAGGAGACATATCTGCTGGAATCAATTATCAGAAAAAATATTAGTGAAAGAATCTGTCATCAAAACTGAATCTAAAGTGTGTGGGTTAAGTGTTTCGGCTGCTTTAATGCCAATTTGACTCTTGCTAGAGTCATTTGAGAAGAAGAAACCTCAACAGAGAAAACTATCATGAGCAGCTGGTTGGTGCAATAGTCTGTAGGATATTTTCTTGATTGATGGTTGATGGGCGGGAGTGAAGATCACTGTGAGTGGTTTCACTCATGGATAGGTGGTCCTGTGCTGTCTAAGAAAGCCATCTGCGGAATCGAGGAGGAATGACAGGAATGATTGAAAACGCAGCCTCATTCATGGCCCCTGCTCCAGTGCCCCCCTCTAGGTAGTCACCCTTGTGTCCTCAGTGAGGGACGTATAAGTTGTGTCGTGAAGCAAACCCTTTCTTCCCAAAATTGTTAGCCAGGGTGCTTTATCACAGCAATGGAAACTTTACTTGCAACAGTTAAACAAATCATGAATTAATTTTAATCATTAAAGGAATGGCATGTCTTTTAATTCTATCACTTTTTTGAAAAAAAAATCAAATCTTAAAATCGCCTTGAAAGATGCTAATTAGACTATGAAATGCCCCTTAGGGGCTTGTGTGCTGAATCCTTGGTCTCCAGCAGATTCCATGCTGAAAGTTATTGAAACCTAAGGGGGTTGGGTCACCTAGAGAAAGTCAACCATTCAGTGCATATCTTTAAGGTTACACATGGTCTCTAGTGCCTTTATCTCACTGTTTCCTGTCCATCATGAGGTGAAGAGCCTCCTCTTGCAAATGCTCCTACCACCACTCAAGCTCCAATATAGAACTGGCCCAGAACCCATAGAACCAACGACTGCAAAATCTCGGAAACTGCTGGTGAAAATATGTCTTTCCTTTTTAAAAGATTTTTTTTTTCTCAAGTATTTTGGTTGCATCTATGCAAAAGTGACTGATAGGGATCAGGATGGCTGAAAATATATATGTGTACACACACACACATAATTGTGAGGAGTAGTGACTCTTTTCCTTTCAATATTTAATATTTAATATGTCCAAGTATTTTGTCTGCATGTATGTCTGTTGCCCAAATGCATGCAGTGTTCGCACAGGCCAGAAGAGAGTAACAGATCTACTGGAACTGGAGTTATAAACGTGAGTAGCCGTGTGGGTGCTGGAAATGCAACCCAGGTCCTCAGAAGAGCAGCCAGGGCTCTTAACAGTTGAGCTGTCTCTCCAGCCCCACCACTGATGGACACTGCTTGACAATTACCCCCTCCACTAAAACCAGCGGTTTATAATCCAACATGAAAGACCAGGGAATTTTCTGCTGATTAAATTGCATATTAGTAGAGCGCCAGAAACAAAACAGAAAAACAAACTCTCACAGTTCTGAGAAAGGTCTCAGAATTATGAAGAATCTTGGCCTATACTCAACAGTGGGTTCCCAGATGCAGCAACAGAAGCAACAAAACTTAAGGCTGTGAAGTGACAGGTGTGTTGACTCATTGTATAGAGGTGCTTAGTACTGAGGCTATCATTTATAATGCTGATAATTCTATAGACTATTTTAATAACACCAAATAAAGCTTAACAGTTATGACATTGAATCTTTACTTTCTTGGTTTTGTTTGTAAACTTGACTACCTTTTTAAAAATGACAAACAAGTCCAGCACAACAATTATTCCTCCTGACTAGTGTGCTGTGTTTTGGCACCTAGTCAATCTAATATTGATACCTTAGAAAAATAATCCACAAAATATATATGAATAGATTATATGCTCAACCCATTGTCTGCATTGAAGTACTTACAATAATATGTCCTTTAACATAGCAATAGAATTTATTGATATTAAAAGCTTAAAAGTCATGGCATAATTTCAATCATCAGATTCTTCTAGATCAGGAGATAAACTCCCATATATCATTTTCACAGCAAATGACAGCACTTACCTTAGCAATCTGGACACACCAGTTCAATAGCAGCTGTGATCCTATGTTATCCTTGTGTTCATGGACATAGTCCAGCAGGCAGCCATGGGGCATCAGCTGGGTAACCAGCTGGATCGTGGGGCTCAGGCACACTCCCAGTAGGCGAACTAGGTGTGGGTGGTCCATGCTTGCCATGATCAGGGCTTCCTGTAGCAACAACAACAACAACAACAAAAGCCATATATCATCATTTCAACTCCGTATTCCTCAGCATTTTAAATCCTTACATAGGATGAAAGGTGTGTAGTGGATTTTAAAATGTGAGCCAAATATAGTGCGTATGCCTTTTTTTTTTCCAGCACTCAGGAAGCAGGTGTGAGTGAAGCTCTATAAACATAAGACCTGTTTATCATATATACTGAGTTCTAGGCCTGCTTATTATATATACTGAGTTCTAGGCCAGGTAGGGTTACATAGTGGGACACAGTTTCAAAGAAAGTCCTCAGTAGACTCAATTAATAATGTAAATATATTTAGTAAATAATTTCACTCCTAGACTGATATAATGAAATAAAACAAAGCAACAAACACTACAAAGTGAGCGATTCAGCGATAGAATGCCTGTCTAATAGATCAGAACCTATATATTTACTTTTTATAAAATTAGCAAAAATAATATTTTATTTTCTGCCAATTTTGTTAAAATGAACACTACACCAGACACTTTACTTTTTAATCCAATCTCTAGAACATAACCATACAAATGTGTTACTCTCAAGAGCAATAAGGTGACCCTAAAAACTTATCCATTATTTTGAGTTAGCATATGTAACTGAGATATATAAATTCTAAAGCTGCAAATAAATAATTGCAGTCAGTATGTTTAATGTTGATTTATAAAAAAGGATGACAATTTTAAGATTTTTTGCTCCATTATTTTATGCTTACTCAAATATATTTCATTTTATAAAAAAAATTAAAGAGATGTCTCACTCATAGACTTATAGAGTTTGAGAACTAAGTGAAACTGAAAAAAAATATCTGGATCAATTTCTTTATTTGATGAAATGAAAACCAAGTCCCATTTTATTTCATATTGATATTCTATCAAAGAAGAAAATACAACCATATGGTAGTATGTAGTACATTCTATAATTAGCTTCGAAAGATATTACAAATATCAACACATCGCCATAAAGAATATTCTTTTTCTTTAATGTTTGATATGTTCCTTTATGGAACAAAGTAAATAAAACAATATTCTACTCCTATGAAAATCATAATAAACCTTTGGTTTTACAAAGCCACATACTATCAGAAACATAATATTCATGTCAGTAATATTTAACATTAGTTAAAAATAATCCAACAAAGTAGGATACAATACTATCAAATTTTAAGACACAGTGGATCAAAACATGCATGAAAAAATTAAAAATTTTAGTATCATCCCAGGCATAGTGTGCATGCCTTAGACCCAGTATTCAGGAGACAGGACCAGGTGCAACCCTGATTTCAAGGCCAGATTGGTCTACAACTCAAGTTCCAGGCCAGCCAGCCAATTCAGAGAAATCCTGGCTCAAACAAACAAACCAACAAACAGATAAATAAAAACATCAATATCACAGGGGATACGAAAAATTGGTGAGATGGGTCAAGCTAAAATTTATTATAGAAATAAATCAAGGCTGGGTTTTGGCTTATTATTTTATAAAAGTTCTTTCACATCAATACTATTTTCTTTTCTTACAATATATTCTGCTCAGTTTCTTCTTTCTCATCTCCTCCAAGATCCTACACTATTCACCATCCAGTCAACTCTGCATTTTTCTTTCTTTTTTTAGAAAACCAACGGCAAATAAAAGAATAAACAAAGAATAAATCAAAGCAAACAGAAAAAGAAAAAGCACAAGAAACTCACACACATGCTGAAACACACACACAAGCACACACACAATCTATAGTACTCAAAATTGGATCCAGGTGATAGTGGTTCACGCCTTTAATCCCAGCACTCAAGAAGTGGAGAAGGTAAATCTCTGTAAGTTTGAGGCTACAGACTGAGTTCCAGGACAGCCAATTCTACATAGAGAAACTGTCTTAAGAAACAAATTTTAAAAAAGCAAAAGCAGCAACAAGCAAACAAATAAAAGGAGTCCAAGCAAAGCATTATGGAGACAAAAATACCACTGAGTTGGTTTTGTGTTGTACTTCTACTGCTGGGCATAGGGCCTGACCTCAAGAGTGGTTTGTATACCCAGTGAAATTCCATTAAGAGAACTAATTTTTCCTTTATGAGAAGGTGACACTTTGAAATGGAGATGGTAGTTCATGTCTTGTCCCCTTTCCGTCCTGGGACGTCATTTGGCTTGGATCTGTTCAGGCATTGTTCATGCTGTAAGTCTCTGAATTTTTATGTGTGTTAACCCTTTTCTAGTTTGAAGGAACTCAAACTAGAGTTTGAGTGATATATCTCATTCTTAGACCGGAAAAATGCAATACATAGAATATTATTGAGATAATAATATGTAACATATAGACTATATATTAAATAATATTATGTTCATCTTAAATATTTCAGAATAGCTTTAGTATAGTGCAATATTCAAGAATTTCCTTGATCACTCTTTATGATGATTGAGCAAGCAGTCCAATGGTTTATAGGGGTAAAGAAAGAGGGAGAAGATGATTATGTATCTATGTTTATATTTGTGTAATACATGTACATACACATGAAGGATTCATACAAATTGCTACTAGTTAATTCAAAATTACAGAATGTTTATGATGTTATTCTTCAATATTTTTGTGTCTTTAAAATTTTTCAAATATCAAAGTAAAGAATAAAGCTGTTCTGCATTTTTGTTTATAATGACATGACATAACAAATACATTAAACCCAGTTTTTCAGAAGGAAACTGAGAAACAACTGATGTCATACAACAGCACATGCTTAGGTAGTATCAAAAAACAGACAGTCATGGAGGTAGAAGTTGATTCCAGCAGAACTGTTTCAACGCTCACTTAGGAACACTGAGGTAACAGATCTGCCTCTATATTGTGTAAGCGGCAAAACAGGATTTTGGATGTGACTGTCAGGACAACAGCCAGAGAAACAATTCTAGGAAAGAAGATGAAGCATCGAACAGGGACCATCAAGTCTCAAACAACTGATTAGTTTTAAGCCTTTTGTGGCAGTAGCTGAAGCCACTGTTTTCCTCCTGTCTTCTAAGAGGAGTGAACCCTTCAACTGACCCTTCCATTTGTCTCTAGGAACCTGGTAATTCATGGAAAAATTTGTCTGACTCTATGTGTGTCTACAAGGTTGGAATATTTCACTGTCATTTACTGTGTAGTCGAGTGAACATTTGAAACAAAGCTATGCAGTTATAATTATTTTACAAATAGGAAGGTCAGCTAAATTTAATATTATTATATTATTTAATGTAGTATGAACTAGTTGTGTTTATAATATAAACCTGAAGGTTTCTTCACCAAATTATACATGTGTACCTATGTAAAATACATACAACACACCAACAACTGAGCAAAACATTCACTCAGATTAAATATTATAATTAATCAAGTATTAAATTAGATATGAAATGCTAGATAACTAAGCAAAAGTTATACTGATTGTATTCTACTTATCACTCTCTTGATGGATCCTGTATTCTGATTATCGTTCTCTGGATGAAGCCTGATTTTTCCTATACGTTAGTATTACTAGGTTTAGTACAGTGTTCCAAGATCCTTAGGTAATAAGTCTAGAAGTATGACTTGTGGGCATGAAAATGTAGCAAGCATGTATATGAAACTAATGTAGAAAGCAGGAACCTTTGAGATCTTCTTGCACATTTAAGTCAAACTGAGACTCCCTAATTACAGAATAAACCTTTGTAAACATTGTTTGATTCTTATTTTGACCATGTGACTAGTCAAAAGAAATAGACATTCCTTGCTAAACAAACAGGAAACTGAATCTCATTGCCTTATTCTTCCAAGGGATTGGCTTTGTCAGCAGAAGATCAGTTTACAATATACTTTCTCATTAGTAATGCAGCTTTGTTTCATAAATACTGTAAATAGTTTCATCAGGATTTTACACTGTAGATATTTATCTTGTTAGCAATAGCTTCAAACACCTCACATTAGCAATAATGGAATAAAGCAAGCCAAGTTACATATCAGTTACTGAGGACCAAACGCAATCAAACAACAGACTGGTGATCATAGGTAAACTTCATTCCTTGAAATATACTTCAGGAAAAGACAAAGAAAATAGCTTTCTCTGACTTAGTACAGTACATGGTAGAGGCATTTCCTAAGGTGGAAAGAATGGTAAAAAAAATACTTTGAGTTATTATTTTTCCAAAGAATTAAATATATAAAATGGCTGTTTTCCTTCTACAGTTCAATGAATAATGCTAATGCCATTCTCACGTGCATTTGAAAAGTTTACATTGGATGACTTCTCACGCGAAAATTGAAAGTTCTCTTTATAAAAATCTATTAGTAAGTCTTGGCAAAAAAGCTGGGTATGTATTAAGGAAAATTGCTCATCACACTACAAAGAATATTTGAAACTAAATTGCAGATAATTTGCATAATTGTTCTCTCTCTCCTTTTTCTTTTTCTTTTTTTTAGAAAAATAAAAGATGAACAAGACACTAATTGTAGGTTTTATTTTTTCATAAAGGGAATAGCAGATGGCTTTTTGGAGGATAAGGGAATAGATAAAGAAAATAGGATGTGGATTCATTGAAAACAAGAAATGGGCTTGAGGAGGGGAGAAATTCCAATATTTTAATCAGGGAGTATTTGCTTTCAATAGATTACTCTGTTTTTAAATTAATAATGCCCTCAGTTTCTTATCTCTGCAGGTGACTATAGAAAAAATTTTCGATCTTATCTGATGCCATGGGAAAATGCCACCAAAGGGCAGTGGGATAAACATAACTCGACAGGTATTCTTCAAGAAAATAAAAATCATTCTGCCTTTGTTTTTCCTATAGCCTTGTAAATTTTCTTTTGCTTTGGGGTAAAGCACAAAGTTTTCCCATTGGAAACAAGGGAGACTACAAGAGGTGCATGGTGGGATATTCTAAAACAGGGATATTTTTCTTGATAATGAGGTCTGCTTTGAATAAGAACATTTTTTGAAAAAGCCACCAAGGGACTCTGGGCTGCACACACAGAGCTCTGAA